GGAACAAAATCCATATTTGGCACTGTAAAAGGGAGCAAAGATTAGAGTTTTGACAGGAATGCCAGATTGCAAACACACACACACACACACACACACACACACACACACACATATATGCAGTAAAACACACACTTTTCATAGACCAGTGTGTTGTGAAAGAGTCCTATGATTGTGAGTTACTTTACCATGACTGTTTTGATGAAAATGTATTGCCTTGTCCTTGGAAATGTGGCACAGCAGTCGATATGGTTCTACAGACTCGGTAATACTCTCCACTGTGAAGGCTACAGACTAAAGACGCTCTTCGACTGATGAAACAATGGAGGAGGGGGGTGGGGGGGGTTAGGGGAAGCATTCTTTTGCAGAGTCTGCATTATTGGATTTGGATCGTAACATGGTAGTATCAAGTTAGGAGGAGAAGGGCCTGTGAATATCACGTTGGAATCACAATAGACAAGGGCCGATTGTTATTGCACAGCGCTTCCATTAATAATTCAATCATTTGACCCGTGACATGATTTCCCGTAAAACAATCTGATCCTCTGAGGCCTGATAGAGATATTTGAAATCTATGGATGTGTGTGTGGTATGCGTGTATGTCTGTTTTGACCTTCCCCAGTATGACACAGAGCCGATGCCTGAGGCTACAACTACAAGTATAATATTTAGAGGAGAGAAGAGGAGAAGGAGAGACAAGATATCAGAAAGTGTGTGTGTACCGCAGCTGAAGTGTGCTGCAGCATTTCCCCGAAACTAAAGATGTGACTGCCCCCAAGGGTGCTCCAATAAGTGCGCCACAGAAATGGAAGGCCTTTACACAAACTGTGCACTTAAAAAACTGAGCAGCACTCTGGAAGTACACGCAGAAAATCAGAGTATGCAGAGTGCATTAAATATAAAAACAGTGAGTGAGAGAGTGGAAACAAAGTCAGTAATATCATAATGCATTGTTTAAGGGATCACTACTGACAGGGTAAATGTTGCTGTTCCAACTCTGGCCTGCTCACACACACACACACACACACACACACACACACACACACACAGAGGCATGGATGAATGGGGGGTTGTGAATGAACACACAGTTGCACGTACACACTAAATAACAACATGCTCACACGCATGTGCGGGGAGAAAAGCAGGGGTGCCATCTATCAGGCTGCAGACGGGAGCCTTGGAAGGGGAAATCTGTCCTGTGATGGCCGTAAATGAGGGCTGTGGCGGCACTGTCACATTGCGTTTGGCTGGGACGCAGGAGCTACGAGGGCCCTACGAGGGGCGGAGGGCATGGACACTGTGTACTGATATAATGAACCAGGGAGATGGCTGGAGCATGGGCAGACGCTGGGATTCTGTCACAGCTAGTGGTTGTTCTACTGCTGCTGCTGCTGCAAAAAAGAAGAAGGGAAGAAGGAGGGAAAGAGGAGAGAAACTAAATTGAGTGCAGAGAAGAGGAGTGGGGAAGAGGCGAAGGCAATGATCAAGACTGAAAAACAGAAGGAGAATGAGAGACAGAGAAGGGCCGGGGAATGCGTAAGCAGACCCGCAAGAAAAACACTGCACTAATCGCTGTTGGATTGGTGAGGCAATACCAGTGTTATACCAGAAGAATATTTACTCTAATTAGAGCCAGCTAATGTGTCTCCAGGTATAAAGGCTGTCGGCACTTCCCTGAGAATAATTAGAAGCACAGAGCATGTATTGTCCAGGAGAGCGCCGCAGAGCTCCCTTTGTACATCATTAACAGTTCACTGACAACAAAAGCAGAGTTAATAGAATGTAATGTGGTCTCCTCACCCATCCGTTTGTTCAAATGGTCATTAGGGTAATGCAGAATAATTCCTTCCTTCTGTGCTTCAGCCCAAAATGACTCCTCCCACCTCCCATGTGCCCCTTTTTTTTGCTAAAGTCCTGCCTCCATTTGCCTCTCTTTCCCCTCTACGGGAGAATATTCTCCAACCCTCTGTCCTCCACATCAAGATGATAAACATGATTTCACGGCGCGTTACAATCATCAGTCTTCGTAAAACACACGAAATCCTCTATAAAAGAATTAATTCTGCTTTGGAGAGACAGAGCCAAATGTATAGATTTACAATGCCACACTCGAGTTCCCCCCACCATGTTTTAATGCATCATAAACACTTGGTGTTTTTTGGTCTCTGTTCCAATAAAAACAGAGCGCGCGGGGGTGTAATATCTGGAGCTGGGGGAAATTAAAGCTGAAGTTCCTCTCCTCCTCAGTGCACTCCCAGCTCACACACACACACACACACACACACACACACACAGACACACACACACACACACACACACACACACACACACGGTTAATCAGCAGCCCAGAGAGAAATCTAAGACCACATCTACACCCAGTGGAGGGAACCTGATACAACCACATCTTTCCCCCCTTCCCACATTCCCCTCTTTCTCTTAATCATCAACACACACACACACACGTACACGCACACACACATACACACATGCTGCTGCTGATAAATTAGATGCAAGGTTCAGTATGATTAACTAAAGTTAATGAAGACTGAAAGTGATCTCAAACAACGAAACCATAGAAGGGAAGTCTTTGAAACCATGAAGAGTGCATTAGAAAAGCAGTGGACATTCTTTTTCCATTTCTGCCTCTGCTGCTATTTCCAAAAGTCCTTTCAGTGTGCGGTGACAAACATAACCCTTCTGACTGGTGGAAAAATAAATCATACTTTCAAGTGAAGACAAATGCCTTATCCGCTGGGAGTAGCCTCAGGCTATAGTCATAATGGCCTCCCTCTCTCTCCTTTTTCTGCCTCCCCTTGTCTCGCTCTCTTTCTTTTTGTCTCCAGGCAGGGAGTTTCCCTGAACTAGTCTGAAATGTCCACCCAAAAATCAGCCTTACGCAGCACAAAGCTAGCTCAGGGCACATGAGGAGAAAGGTGGATTTTCCTGTTTTAAGACTTATTTAAGGGTGAACTCCAAAATGGCGAGAGCTACTTTAAAGTCCCAGAGGCGAAACTGCTGCTCGGCTGCAAGTTTGAGCAAACAAGAGAAAAATTATCAGTCACATCTTTGACTATCAAAACATAATAACACTCAAACGCATGGCACAGGGTCGTTACTCATGTCTGATCTTGTGTGGTGGCTATAAAATCATGGATTTCCTAACCCTGTGTGAGTGTGCTTGGGTCCCGGCTCCAGGCTTGGCTCGGCGCAGGGCAGGCCAGCTGCAGAAGTCTGTCTCCTCTCCTCTCTCTCCCCTCCTCTGCTCTCAGTGCTATCAGGTTGCCTCTCCTCCTCCTTCAGCCCATTACACAGGCCTCTTTATGCTGCGCTAAAAGCTGCTCATGTTCAAACACTCCTGGGAAAAGCTCCTTAAAACACGTCAGGAAGAGAGGCCCTGTCTGGTAAAATATTAATAGGAAGTTAATTGGTTGTTAATGGACTGGTGCTTGGGCTGGAATCACCCTCCATTAGATAGGCCACAGAAACAACCCATTCAGGGGTGTCATCTTACCACCTCCACAATCTAATTGTTTTCCGGTCACTGTAGCCGTGAGTTGCGGTAACCTGGTGTTAAAGACATTATTGCTGGAGTTTTATGTAAGGTCCTGCAAGAAGTATTGTACCCGGTGCCAACCACATTTCCATGTGAGCTCGGTATTGTGGGTGTTCGGTTACTTACGCGTCAAGTTTTGACTATCTGCGCTTCTCTTCTCTCTTTTGTGTCATCTTCTCACATTCAAAGTCACGTTTAAACTCTCTGCTCCCGTTAATCCCTCTCCACATCAGGAAATAGTTTGAGCTTTTGTTGTTTGTGGCCAGTGTGTTTGTGCTTTCTGCGGTTTGCCGTTACCCAACAGGAAAAATCCCTCTTCTGCTAGAGTAGGCATGTAATATTGATGCAGAGCAGACTCGGAGAAAACATAGAAATCAAATGGAATCCAAACTAAGTTCAAATGTCGACATCAACACATACATTTTTGATCATTGCAAACCTACAAGACGCCATTCCTTTTAAGGGGAAGCCACAGGGGCATGTGCAGCAGGGAATATATTTAGAAATAAGTGATATTTCAGCGTGTCTTTCGATCCCAACTTCGTTCAGCTCCAATTCATTTATGAGAGGGACAAATACTTGTTGAAAGAGGTCGTTCAGGAAATGGGAGTTAAAATGGCGGTGGAGGTTTCCCGGGCAGACTGCTTTTTACAGTTTGGGCTTTTAAATGCACCATTTAAAAATAAACCAGCTCTCAAAGATATGTCATTTTCTTTTTAGGCCTACAGACATTTGTAAATATAAGAAAAAGCATTTTTTTCCTCTTCTATGAATAAAAATAAAATATAGATAATTTATTATATTCTAATAATAAAACATTTTCTTGTAATTTTTTTTTAACATTTTAAATATTTAACCCTTAATTAAACCTCAGATCTAAATGCACTCTTTATTTACTCGTCCCCTTCAATGCTATGACCTCTCCTCTCGTGACTCTGACCACTTAATGGTAACCTTGTTCAAACATTGAGTGAATCCGTGTCCAATTACATTACGAAGCAAATGTCAATGGATCCAACAGATGTTGTCCTACTACACTTTTGCTGAGTGGATTGTAGATTCAACAGCCGCCACTAGATGGTACTGAAACACAGGCAGCCATTTCTGATGTCAGATCAGCAGACATGGCTGTTTGCTTCCAGGATAAATAGATGAAATAAATCAGCCAGGTTTCCTTGTTTGACTGTGATAAGTTCTGGTCTCCTGGCTGGGTGGAGACTGGGATAATCCTGAGGGTGTCTACTGCAAAACTTGTCTGTGTGATGTTTTCTTAAAACTTGTCTGTCCACTTGACTGCATAGCAAAGTGAAATGAATCTATCAGACAGAGAAAAACAGGGAGATTACTGTGTTACCAATAGCATGCACTCTAAAGACTTCAACTAGATTTGTGCTGCGACGCGACCGTGCGCATTTCTTTCAACTCTCATTATGAACAAACAGATACACACTCATGCTTGAGATCTTTATTACATGTTAAGCTGTAAGTGCTGCAACAAATGGGCGGATTCTTGGCTGGACCTTTAACGTTTAGCAAAAATGTCAGAAGCTACAATGAATACATGATGACACACTACAAAGCACTTGCAAAGAACACTTTTTGAGAAACAGTAGAAAAGTTACAACAGTATGAAATGTCCACTCTGGAAAAAATTGTACTGGAATAACATTTTGACATTCAAAAACAAGCAAACTTAAAAAAAAAAAAAAAAAAAAAGTCACCCTGAGCATTCTGTCCAGTTATTTTCTCCGGTGTGACCTTTTGATATCACAGATTCATAAATATACATTTGAAATTTGCACTGATGCAGTCGCTTGCGGTTTAAAACTGTATTTGTTTTGTCGACACCTAAAACCATTAGTCGACTATTATTTCTATGGATGAGAACGGCTGTCGGAAATGTTTTTAAATTCAGGCGAGACAGCTTTGCTTCTTAGCATGCATGCCACAACCGTTTATTAACTGTCAATCAACTGTGTTCATCCCAGGCGCGCACAATAAGAGTCATTGTTAAAAAAGCCAAATGTCATACCACTGCACACAGACAAGCTATGGTGATGTGAACTCTGCAAACGTGAACTGTCTCACCTCCCGAAAATGAAATATTGCCCGCTGTTGGCTGTAAATATGAAGAAGTCTACATGCCAGGTGGTTAGCTTTTCATGAGTTTGTGTGGAGGAATGCATGCTAAAAAGTGTTTTAAATCAGCTCCAGAAACATTTGTTGTGTGTGATACAGATAACAGGCAGTAAGAAGAACAGAGTAGATGCAATTAGATTGGAAGAATGTGCTGTATGCCCTTCATAACCTCACTCTCACCTTGTAGGTAAAAAGGGGCTTATTTCACCTCATGAAATCATAAACCCAATTTTGCTGCTTCAGCTTTACCAGAAATGGTCTGGGACTGGATGCCCGGAGCTCAAGTGCCATATAGGACAATCAAAGAGGCTCCTCTCTAGGCTGTATCGTGGAAAAGGATGGGTTTGACCATGCCTGAGAGGATCTTGGGCACATGGACACTCACAATCTCCGAGATCATCTCTGGGAAGTTGACACGTGTCTGGAGGGACTGAGCTTGGACGAACAGATCATAGGTGAACTGGTGTAACTTCCTCACAATCTGACAATAAAAGAAAGAGGAGACAGGGGTTATTAGTGACAAAGATGTGACGTGTGAAATGTGTACAGCGCTAAAAAAGAACAAAGCCTGCAGATAAAAGAGGAAATAGCAAATGACACTGAAGCCTGACATGAGCTTTAAGAGGTGACTTAAAAAGATGACACTCATTGTGATGCTCTAAGCCCCGAAGGCAGGGTAATGCCAAAGAGGTCTGAACTGCAAAGTCTTGATCAACTCTGGTTTTCTGCCTAAAGGGCCCTGCTGCCAGACAATCCCTGGCTGCCCTCCAGCTCATAAGGCATTAGAAGATCTAAGATGTGAGTGGGACACTGACAAAGCTGAGCCTTTAAGAGTAAATCCACAGTGAAAGACATGAGGCTGAAACTGCTGCAGCTCAGCTCTCTTTGGGAGGGAACTTTCCAGCTCTTCTGGTCATGCCCCCGACCACTGATGTCACAGATTTTTTCTTAGACTGTTCCTACCAATCAGTATTCGAAGTTTTAATGGTAGTGAGGAGGAAAGTAGTTAATCTGCACCCTCTAGTGGGTGCATCCCTACTATCTTGAGTTTCAAGATTTTTTTTTCAAAACTCATGTAAGCATGGTTTGTGTTTCTCAAGGTAGGCCTTCTTTCAGGTTTTATTCATCTTGGCTACATGTGTGCGTAAAGCAGGGGGATGTGCACAATAAAGAAAACATACATAAAAAAACAACACTCACATTCAAATACATTCACTATGACCCTTTAAAGGTCCACTGTGTAGGATTTATGGGGGATATATTGGCAGAAATACAATATAATATATTAAGTTCGACTTCTTTAGTGGATATAATCACCTAAAAGTAAGAACTGTAGTGTTCTCCTTACATTAGAATAAGCTGTTAATATCTACACAGGCAGGTCCTTGTCTACAGAGATCGCATGTGTCTACAGCAGCCCAGAATGGACAAACCAAACACAGGCTCTTGACAGGGCCAATTGTGTTTTCTCATCAGCCATTGAAGTTAGAGGCCCCTTTGCTATGAGCAGTGGAGTGTGACTTTTCCACATGAAACTGCATTATTCAGTGTTTTACCACTTAAAATCTCCTTCTGAGGAAGAGACCTCTGCAGATGAATCGGCTTCTGGTAAAAACTTCCTGAATGTCTAGATCTTGGTGAGCACAGATTAGCAGGTGCTAGGCTAGTGGCTTTGAAAAAAACTGATCTGTAAAGTGTAACTGCTTTATTGTGTGTTTCTACTGGTTTAAATCACAGGGTCCGTTTGTTTTTCAGAGGAGGAGACCTCTGTGGGCAATTCAGCTCTCAGTAAAAACCTCCTGACTGTTCATATCAGAAATAAGGTGAGCACACATAGTAGACACCGGGCAAGTGGCCCGTCTGTGACATGCCAAAAAGCATAGAAGACAGTGATCTGTAACTTGAAACTACTTAATTCTGTGTTTCTACTGATGAAAATCACCTGGTCTGAGGAGGAGACCTGAGGCCTGTACTACTAAGCAGGATTTGAAGTTTGCGAGGTAACTTCAAGGTTTACTCTTATAATGAACAGCTAACCTGCTGCGGAGCAGGTTAACTTCAGAGTATCATATCACAGCTTTTCAATACCCCGACCTCTGAACAATCACATCACTGAAGAAAAAAGTATCAATGAACAAAAGTCCTGAGTCTCAGGTTAAAAAGAGCAACCTATATATTGTCATAGGTCAGTAGTAATAGTAGGTCATTGCATTGTTTCGGGGCTCTATTTCCACTGGTGTTAAAACATTATTTTATTTTATTTTTTATTTTAGTCGGCAGTGACAGTGTTGCTATTTTACTCTCTGATTCCAT